CACTGCTGTTGATGCTGCTTCCTTCAATTGCTCCTTACTGCAGTTGGTCTGACACATGTTGGCATGTCTTGTCGTCTGATTGTGCTTGGCCCCGTTAATTGCTGCTTGCAGCTATATTTTCTTTTTTTTCAGTTTTTTTTATTATAATGTTTTCACTAAAGTTTTGTTAATGTTTCGTTGGCTAATACAACTGTGGTCAATAACTTTATACTTTCACATATGGATGCAGCATTGAGAAAAAGAAAAAGCTTTCAGTTACTGACAATAATATCCTATTCACCAGCATTTCAGTTACCTACAAGTTAGGGTCATGTATTTGGCTTCCATGAGGGGGTAAAAAAGATAAATAATAAAAGACTAAATTGCAGAGCTGAGTGGATGTCAGAATGTTCTTTTTTTTGCCTTGAGACAATGTGAAAAAAAAGTTATGAAACCAGCACCTCTATATCTTTTGCCCACTAGAGTTCATGTTATGCAACACCCCACAGAGACCACACTCTTCAACATTCCCTCTCACAAACAGAGGGGCATACAGTTTCCAGAGGACAGCTCTGTGTGCAGCAGACCACAATAACTTTCCTCAAACCTCATATTTTAACAAGCAGCCAGTGAAACTCTTGCATGGAAGTTTTAGAGAGGGGTCTCTAAATATCTGACTCAGCAGGTAAAGGGGAGAATACTGACTGGGCTTGAATGAAATACGCTACTCTTAACAGCATATAACTTATGCATTATAATCTAATCACTGCTTTGCTTTTATTAAATATAGCCTATAATGCAACCCATTAAAATAATTAATAAAATAAAAAAACACTACTTCTACGAAACAATTACCATGGTATTAATGAAGTACTATGAGGATCTCATAGTATTATAATGGTGCATGTCCAAAATCATGGTAACGCTGCTGGTGACCATGAAAGCCTCAGATCTAGTTGTCATGCAAAACAAGCAAATACTTTTTTTTTACCATATAGGTCTTTTAATTACAAAAGCCCATTTCTTGCAATTATTTTCCTGAAATGATCGATGTGGGTATCTGGCTATCCTAAAATGGATCCATGTGAATCAGAAGAGGGAGAACTCAGCAAACACAGGAAATGCAGAGTTACATGCAGGAGCAGGACTCCTCATCTCAGTGAAAGGGGGCTGCTTTCATATGTCGGACATTAACCCTTTCAGCAACATTGCTGAGTCGCTGACGTTGCATAATAATGGCTGAAAGAATTCAGTTTTTTAAAAAATATTTGTGGACTTTGCCATAGGGCTATTTCTCTCCCAATTGTCCTCTTAATGATAGGCTACTTTGCTTGGAAAAAGTGTAGATTTTTTTTTTAACGTTTTAACTCTTCTCCTCTTGTATTAAACACATTTTCATGATGATTACAAAAAAAGAGCAAATTTAAAGTTCGTAAAAAATGAAGGTAAATAGAAATGGATTTTTGGATAATTATTAATTCACTCATTAAATTTTTACGGAGATACAATTAACTTTTGGATAATTTTACAATTGTTAAAGCTTAAAAATGAACTTGCTCTTATGCTTGATGAAACACCTCCAAACTCGAATAGCATGTTAAATCAAATGTAAAAGACAAATAAACAAACAAAAACAATATCTTTACTACTCAGAACGGTTCAAGGCAGTAAGCGCAGCAAGACATTATATAACGAAAGACTAAAACTAAGTGACCAAGTAAATGGAAGCATCAGTAAGGACACGTACGCTCGAGCAGAAGAAGGATGCTTAGAATTAGATTATTTATCACAATGCAAAATTCAAACTATCTGAGAATACAAATTATTTTCAAATACAGCCTAAACATGAATATCAAAAACATTGACTGTCAGACTGAAACTTTAACTTTTTCAATGGTGGTGAAAAACACATAACGGTAGTAAAAAAAGCATGCGCTTACCTGCGTTCAAATTTACAGTGATAAAGAATCGCCGCTGACTTTTGGAGTCGTGGCACTTTCTGCGAGTTGGCGCAGCGCCCGCCTGTGAAGCTTATACGCGACCTGATACTGACATCTGATTGGATTAACGCCTGTCAATCAACGCCCTTTAAACCAACCGCGTCACGCGTAGTATCCAAAAGGTGGGCAGCAGAGGGCTGTGAGTGTTCGGTGGGACGTCGAATGATAGTCAAAACTTTTTAAAATATAAACATAAAACAGAGAAATTAATACTTTAAAAGCAATACTTATGCATTAAAGTAATCAATTTTTATAATACCACCCTTACAAAAGTACTTCAGTGGTCGCTATCATAGTACAGTTACTGCTCTGTTAGTTTGATATGTCAGGAAGACCACGGTTAAATGTCACACTAACCCCTGTTAAATGCTTGTCTTAAAAAAGTAACACTAATTTAGAGTTAGGGTGGGAAAAAAACACACACAAAAAACTTGAAGTCTATGTAGTTCTGACTGAACAAGAAGAGGAGAAAAGTGTACAATGCTGTAAAGCAATTGCAAAACCCATTATATTTTCCTATCAGCTTGAATAAAGCTTAAATGACAAATGTTCCCCTCAAACATGTGTAGGTGATGTAATTATTAGCTCTGGAACGACTTCCAGTAATCTGAGATAACTATTACACTGAGTGCAAATAAATGTCACAGGGTAACTGAAAATCAATAGGCTAGTACTTACTATTATACTTAAGTCTTAAGGTGTTGTACTGTTTGTTAAGATGTAGGATGTGCTGAAAGGCCTTGATATTAAGATGAGAAATAATTGACTGAAACTCTTCCCAAAAAGTGTGTTTTACATCAGTCATTCATTAAACAAACAAACAAGCACAGGGCCATTGCCCTCTGTTTAAGGATTGAAGTCTTTGCTAACAAACTTCTACTGTAGTTGTATGTTTGTATGATTATTATAAATGGTGCTTTCTAATTTAGATACAAGTATTCCGCAGATTTAAGGTTAAAGATCTGAAAATTCCAGATTGAGGTTTAAACTTCAGTGCGCAGCTCTGTTTGTGCTAGTGTAAATGACACAGCTTGCTGATAAGATGTGCAATTACTTTTAAGTGGGTAGACAGGAAAGAAAGACAATGTTGCTTCAAGAAATGTGAAAATCTACTTGCGTATTTTTAGTTGGCGGAAGCTCATTTTCACCTTAGAGACTTAAAATGATGTGAGATATAAATGCGAATGTGAAATTTACGATACTGTAAAAATGAATGCACTTTATCTAATCAAAAAAAAAATGTGGCAACAGATTACAAGCAATATTATTAATTAAATTCAAGATTGAGTAACAATTAATCAAATTATTGCTTAATAAAAAATTAAAATTATTCCTTAACTTAACCATTTAAAATGAGTAAAACTTACCCAAAAATGTACATTAAGTCACCATTATGGTGATCAGTGTTTGTTTTAGGTTTGTTTTAAAATTACGATTTTCTTTATGGTTAACATCAGATGTCTTCAATGTTGCCAATATAAATTAAAGATAATATAAAATTATTAATCTTTGACATCTGTCTGTTATTCAGATATTTTTGTTGTTGTTGTTTTTTTGGTGTAAACTTTACTCATTTTAAATAGTTAACTTTTAAGGAATAATTTGATCAATTATTACTCAATTATAATGTGTTCAATTTAATTAATAATATTGCTTGTAATCTGTTGCCACAATTTTATTGATTATATAAAGCATATTCATTTTTACAGTGTAGGCCTAGTTGCACTTTTGGTAAACAACATTGAAATTATGCAAAACAAAGTCACAATTATGGGAAGTAAAAACGCAATTGTTTGAGATATATTTAATTGCAAGATATAAAGCCACATTATGAGAAAAACAGCAATTATTAGATAGACTGTAAAAATGAATATGCTTTATCTAATCAAAAAAATGTGGCTATAGATTACAAGCAATATTATTAGCCTAATTCAATTTAACAAATTAGAATTGAGTAATAATTAATCAAATTAATTCTTTAAAAGTTAACCATTTAAAATGAGTAAAACTTACAACAACAACCAAAAAAAAAAAAAAACATAAATTGAAGTCACCATTATGGTGATCGGTGTTTGTTTTAAAATTACAGTTTTCTCCTTCAGTGATTCTGCTTGTTAATATCGGGTGTCTTCAATGTTGGGCAATATAACATAAAGAGTTCTTAATTAATCTTTGACATCTGTCTGTTATTCAGATATTTTTTTTTTTTTTTGGTGTAAACTTTACTCTTTTTCTTCTATTTACATTTTAAATGGTTAACTTTTAAGGAATAATTTGATTAATTATTACTCAATTCTAATTTGATACATTTAATGAATTGCTTGTAATCTGTTGCCACAATTATATTGATTAGATAAAGCGTATACATTTTTACAGTGTATAAATTCTCATTGAAAGAAATAAAGTTGCAATTATGAGAAATAAAAGGCACAAATGTTTGAAATAAATGTGTCATCATAATAGTCACACTGTGATAAATAAAGTCATATTTGCAAGATATAAAGTCACATTCATTGTAAAAAGTGAACTTTTAAAAAAAAAAAAGTGAGGAAACCCGTGGCCTTAAAATTATTAAATAAGAAAACAATGCGTAATTGAAAAAAATAAGTTCACATAACTTGTTTTTTTCAATACATAGTTTATTTACTTAAAAAAAGTGAGGAAACCTGTTGCGTTAAAATTATTAAGTTAAGTCAACTGAACACTTTTTACAGTGAACGTATTGTCACAATTACAAGAAATTGTAATTCTCATTGTGAGATATAAAGTCGCAACTGTGAGAAACAGTCAAATTTCAAAATATAAATTCAGAGAGATATAAAGTCACATTGAGAGACAAAAAACAAAACAAAACAAAAAAAACGTGCAATGACCGTAGGTGGAAACTGGCTTCTATTTTACTAATATAAATAGTGTTCACAAAGCATTGCTCCAAAGTTCATTGAATGTTTGAAGATACATCTAAAACCCTGTTAACACATCCACCCACTCGCACTAACACAGAATGTTTCCTTTTCTCAGAAACAGGTTAAAGTGAGGCAAGGTAAAACATTGTATCATCTGGAGGAAGGCGGTTCACACATCATTTCCAGACCTGATAAAGAAAAGGATAGGACAGATCAACAAACAGCCAGGAAATCTGCTTACTTAGTTCCAAGACGTCCATTCCCATGCTGAGTAGCACCCTGCTGAAAAGTCTGCTTCACTTTAAAGGTGTTGTTGTTGGCAGCACGTCAAAACGGTATGAGACGGACCAAAAAAAATGATGAAAGATGGAGAGAGGAGATGTAATCATGTTTATGTGTGCCAACACACACAACAGCATCATTTCCGAGATACAATTCCCAATGTTCATGACCTACAAATCTAAAAATTGAAAGTGTTAAGGCAACATATTTGGTTAAAGGAGTAGTTCACTTTCAAAAAAACGTTTGCTGATAATTTACTCACCCCCATGTCATCCAAGATATCCATATCTTTCTTTCTTCAGTTGAGAAGAAATTAAGGTTTTTGATGAAAACATTCCAGGATTTTTCTCCACATAATGGACTTCAATGGGAACCAAACGGTTCAAGGTCCAAATGACAGTTTCAGTGCAAACTACAAACTGTTCAAAGGGCTTTAAACGATTCCAGACAATGAATAAGGTTCTTATCAAGTGAAACGATCGCTCATTTAATAAATAAATAACAAAGTTTAAGTTTTGTAAGCTCAAATGGTCGCCTTGCTCTGTTCTGTGATGCGCGCTCGTGACTCTCCTATTCGAACTGGTTTATCAAAATGAACGAATCTTTTTTCGTGCCATTTGGTTCATTCAACGAACAAATTGACTTGGAAAAAGATTCGTTCATTTTGATGAACGAGTTCGAACAGAGTCACACAGAACACCGAAAGGCGACCATTTGAGCTTATGAAACGTAAACTTTTTTTTTTTTAAATGAGCGATGGTTTCGCTTGATCAGACCCTTATTCATAGTCTGGAATCGTTTAAAGCCATTTGAACAGTTTGCAGTTTGCACTGAAACTCTCATTTGGACCTTGAACCGTTTGGTTCCCAATGAAGTCCATTATATGGAGAAAAATCCTGGAATGTTTTCATCAAAAACCTTAATTTCTTTTCGACTGAAGAAAGAATGACATGGATATCTTGGATGACATGGGGGTGAGTAAATTATCAGCAAAAGTTTTTTTAAAAGTGAACTACTCCTTTATGTTTCCCTATTTCCAAAATCTCTGTTTGAGCCCAAGCTGTTTCTGGGAACAACCAAAGCTCACAATTACAGAGCCGTGGAGGTGAGGGGGGTGGGGTGGTGTTTGGGAAAGCTGGATGTTTGCTTTAGCTGTCACTGACTAGGGGTGTCCCATCAAACAAACCTTTATGGCAGCCCCACAGCTGAGGAACTCTGAGCACCAGATGTGCATGTTCCTCCTCCTGACTCAGGCTTTGACTCGCATAGACGCATACCTGATATTTTCCACATGCAGTAAAACAATTACACTCTTAAAAATAAAGATTCTTTATTACCATCCGTGGTTCCACGAAGAACCTTTGGCATCCATGGAGCATTCAAATGCACAAAAGGTTTCAATTGAAATGGTTTCATGGATGTTGAAGGTTTATCATTGTAGATGTCAAGAGTGTAAAATGTTCATGGGTGATGTATATAAAAAACAAAACAAAGAAAAATACACTTTAATTTAGGGAATATGTAGTAGAGTGATTTTTTTTGTTTTATTTATACTTCCTTGAGTTCACATTTGAATTACAAATCTGCATTCTCTGTTTTCTCTCACATTTCAAAGGGGAAAAGTGTTCGGAATGGTCAGACAAAATCCCGTGATGGTGTGCAGAATACACTATGACTCTCCACATGTGGATTCAGACTTTGGACGAGAGGAAGTGAAGAATGAGGGGAGGAACCAAAGATGTAATTTCTCAAAACAACTCTCTTGCATTTCTACATTAGTGAAGACCTTTGTGTAACCCGCTGCCCTTTTATTGATTTTTTGGTGACCGATCAATATATAATCTGTCTTAGTTTGCTCCAGACATGGGACTTTTGATAAAAAAAAAAACTAAAAAAAAACATGTTGGATAGATTGCAAGTAGTAAAGATAAACTTTTAAATGGATTAGGGCTATAAACAGTTTTGCTTGAATAGCTTATTTCTGCATATTATACATGCAGCATGTATAGCCTATTATGCAATATATACATTTTCCAAAAATGTGCAGTATACAACAGACTTAATATGTGGGATATTTCGCAAAATTGACGAATACTTGGTTTTCAATTTCCTTTGTGACTAATTATGACAGCAATCATTATTTGATAAAATAATTACATAAAATATTTGGCTATTTTGGTATACACTGGAAATCAAAAATATTTTTTAATTCAATACTCTGTGCAAAATATCCTAACAATTTAGTCAGTCCGATCAAATAATTAAACCTTTTTACAGTCTATGAATAACACGAGATTATGTTAAATTGCGCATGCGCACTGGGCATATTTCCGCTCCTGGTCGGCAGGCGGCAGTAAAGAGCGTGCTGTCCTATTGAAACCAAACCACCACAAAGGATTCAGCTCCATTCTGTTATCAAAGTGCTCTAGCCATCTATGATCCTACTGTAACTGTATTCAAAGTAATGCTTCATAACTATGTCTACGGTCTCTAAGCTTGTCTTGGGATTATCGATAGTGCTCACTATCGGAACCGTTGCAGGCGTTCATCTCAAGCAGAACTGGGACAGACAGGTAAAAAAACACTCTTGTCCTACTAGCCAAATGAGCACCATGACTTTATGAGCCACTGTTATTGAAGTGTCCATTCTGTTTAACCTTTAGTGTGCAGTATGTGTGCAATCAAAATAAGTACAGATGTGCATATAGTGTGTTTTTTTTTATGTTTTGTCTTATGCAAAACACACAATTTTACTGTAGTTACGATAACTACTCGGGTATCTTGGCTGAGTGACATGTTCTGTTCAGATGGGAATCGTTTTATTCTCAGGCAGTTGTTTCAGTTTACGTGTGATACTGTTTAAGCTACTGCTTAATTTCAAATACATTTATATAGTATTTTATCATTGTAATAAGGGCATATCTGTAGTTTTACCTGTGAGATTATTATCAGGGGGTTAACGTTTCTTCAAATGTCGCATCTTAGTATAAAACATGCAGTGTTCATATGTGAGATGATGATGTGTTTGTTCGCAGAGGCTGCACGACGGAGTGCTGCGCGACCTGGAGCGCGTGGAGCGGAAGCGCGAGAACCTGCGCGTGCTCGAGGAACAGATACTACTGACAAGAGAGCTCGTGGCCGCGCGAGACCGACAAGAGGCTGACACGCCGGGGACACACAGCTCATAAACCGACTGGTACAACATATTACTATTATTAGGGCCCAAGCCCTGAAGGGGCGAAGGCCCTATTGTTTTCCTTGGGATTATTTATTATTAGGGCCCAAGCCCTGAAAGGGCGAAGGCCCTATTGTTTTCCTAACGATTATTATTATTAGGGCCCAAGCCCTGAAAGGGCGAAGGCCCTATTGTTTTCCTTCCGATTATTTTTTTTTTTTTCTTTTATTTTTCTAACGACTATTCGGGCACTTTTGGGGCCCTTAACATGCTCGAAAACTCTTGAAACTTTGCACACGGGTCAGAACCCGCGGCCATCAGAGCCGGGCTGAAGCTGGTACCTGGGCGTGGCAGGGCGGCTCGTCAGCGCCCCCTGGAACGGGGTCCTAACACTTGGTCCATAACTCAAACACGCTTGTATGTAATAATATGAAACTCGGTACACATGTTGATCTCATCGTTTCATCTATACCTCACACTCTTACTTTTTACCCCAGCCCAACAGGAAGTCGGCTATTGAGGTTTGTTTGTACAACGCTCGCAATGGAATGTCAAATACTCCTCCTAGAGCTTTGATCCACATTCGACGAAACTCGGTCAGCGTGAAGTCAAGACATTGAGGATGAAAGTTTGCGAGGGGATTTTTTATATCTCGAACGGTTTGTCCGTGGCGAGGAAACGAAATCATGGCGAGAAACGTGAAACAGGAAGTGTGTTATAACTTCAGCATACATTAACTGATCTTGATGAAACTTCAGCAGTGTGTTCGCTGTAAGAGGACGATCACATGGATGTGACTATTGTGAGTCAAAGTTATAGCGCCACCAACTGGCAGCAGGAAGTGTGTCATTTTCAAAATGTTTTGAAATCACCCTCTAATATTTACTCGATTTGCTTCAAACTTAATCTGTATACTGCAAATACACAGCAGATGAAGACCTGTGAATGGATTCTTGATATCTTTGAAACTGTTGCTGTGGCAACGCATCAAACTTTACCATTCTTTTAGGATGCTTTTGAGACTCTTAGCATGCTTTAAATTGCATGAAACTCGACAGACACATAACATTTATTAGCCACTAGACATGTGCAAAGTTTCAGAAACGGGCGTGGTGAGGGCTCAGTAGCGCCACCTTTTGACAAAAGTGGGGTTGTTAGTTTTATCTACAGTTACAAAAATCGGTATGTATATTGTACTCCTCGAGCCGGACAACTTTCTAATTGACACTCATTAGCTAGGACCCACAGAAAGTCAGATATGTTTGTTTGAATGTAGAGAAAATCTCAGAATTTTGCCAGTGTCTCAGTGTCCCTCTGTGTGAGTGAGAGGAGGGGCGCCTGTCAGGTTAATTTTAACCCTTTATTTGCTGTGTGCGACTTCTCTGGCATTTTCGGGGGCCTTAACATCCTCGAAAACTCTTGAAACTTTGCACACGGGTCAGAACCCATGGCCATCAGGGCCGGGCTGAAGCTGGTAACCGGGCGTGGCAGGGCGGCTCGACAGCGCCCCCTGGACTGGGATTCGAACATTTGTCCATAAATCAAACACACTTGCATGAATTAATATGAAACTCTGTACAATTATAGATCACATCAGGCCAAACAACTTTCGTGCTCTAAGTTTTATGACAGTTCAAATGGAAGTTATTTATGAATTATGAATTATGGGTTGTTTGAATAATTGTCCTAGGAGAAATACATCAAATCACAATGCATGTGTTTACCAATCACAACCAAACTCGGTGTGCATGAAGTCAAGACATTGAGGATGCTCAATTCCGGACGGATTTTTGATATCTCCAACGGTCTGGCCGTGGCGAGGAAATGAATTTTATGATTAAAAAAGGACACATAAAGTGTGTTATAACTTTGCTCAATTTACCTACAGTTACAAAACTTACCACGTATATTGTTCTCGTCAAGCCAATCAACTTTCCAATTTAAAGTCATTCGCTCTGAGCAACAGAAAGTCAGATATTGTAGTTTGAATGGATTTATTTCCCTGCGATTCTCTCTCTCTCTCTCTCTCTCTCTCTCTCTCTCTCTCTGGTGTGTGGGGTTGTGGTGTGTGTGTCTGTGTGGGGAGGGGAGGGCTGTTGTCTGTGTTTATGTGTGTGTGTGTGTGGCTGGCTGTGATTTTTCCTACAAGTCCTTGTCTCTAAGTCCTTGTCTTTTTGCATAACAATTTTGCTTAACAATATTTTTAAATGACAAAATAGGCATATAACCCCCATCTTTTAAATGTATAGATTGCTTTAAATAAAAGTAAGATTGTATTTGTAATTGAAGTTGAATGAATTTAAAATTCATGTGCTATATTTCAATATATTTGTTTTCCTTAAGATTTTAAAACACTAACTTCATTCTTATCTGAATTACAAATATTTGTTTCTGTATAAAATAATACTCTGACTAAAAACACATTTGATGTTTTTTTTTTGGTATTTTTATTTACATGTATTTGTGTGTGTGTGTGTGTGTGTGTGTGTGTGTGTATAAAGTGCAGGGTTTTTTTAGATAAAGTAGAATTTCTATATCTATGTGTTGAACTAATAAATCACTCTTGTGTGTGTTAAACACAATCTACTTAATACAGACAACTTCATTATAAAGATAAATAACAAATCCAAAAAATATATGATTATAATCTATGACAAAAAAAGCCATTACAAACTATATTAATAGAAAATACACATTGCTCTTTGTATTGTTGTAAAATATTCATGAAAACAAGATAACAAAAATCAAAAAGATAAATTATTTTAGATATAGCCATGTTTTAAATGTATAGCAGAGATGTTAATTGAGGCAGCAACATACAAACTTTCTAGAACAACATGGACCTGGATAGCTGGTTTTTATGGAGGACAGTGAAGAGGAAGAGGGTGCAAATCAAACAGCTCATTCTCAGACTACACAGCAAACAGCTTAAGTTTTTAGTGCTTTGTTTGAGGTTTTTAGTGCTCTGTCCTATCTATTATCAACATATAATAGATGGAACAGAACAAGAAAGGCAATTAATAATCTGTCATTGCGTCACTGCATTATGATATGAAAGGCTCAGTACAGTGTGGCACAAAACGCTTATGCGCATCCCGAGTGGAGAATGATGCGCTTAAAGCCACATGGAGTTACAGCGCACAGCGCATCGAGTCCGCATTGATGCAAGCTCTACAATACACTTCTTTTTGATAGTCAAAGCGGGGGTTACGTTTTTACACGTCGTACAGAATAACCCTAAAGGCACCAAGGTGGCGGTGCCACCGGCTTTATATTAAATATAAATATAGCTGTGAGCAGCGATAAAGGGCCAAAGCCGGCGGTACCACCATCCCGGTGCCTTTGGGTAACTAAAGGCATCGGGGTTGCGGTGCCACCGGCTTGGGCCCGCAATCGCTGCTCGCAGCTATATTTATTATTATTATTATTACGACTATTTGGGCACTTTTGGGCCCTTAACATGCTCAAAAACTCTTGAAACTTTGCACACGGTCAGAATCCGCGGCCATCAGGGCCGGGCTGAAGATGGTACCCGGGCGTGGCAGGGGGGCTAGACAGCGCCCCCTGGAACGGGGTCCGAAAACTTGGTCCATAAATCAAACACGCTTGCATGTAATAATATGAAACTCGGTGCACATGTTGATCTCATCGTTCATATA